AGCTGCACCATTGACCCCTTCCCAGCCATGCCATAGTCTCCTCTGGACGATGAGCCCCTTCCTATCCCCATGGCTGGACCCCAGGCTCTTCCCCATTGCCCCCCCAGCTGGGCTGCACCAGGGGGCCCCCTCCCCAGCCCAGCTCCAGCGCCTGCCCCCTCAGCCCTGGCCAGGCTCCCTCTGGAGTCGTCCCCCGCCCCCCGCCTTGTGGCTGCGAGCCCTGTGGCAGCAAACCCACCCACCCCAGCCACAGCCCCTGCTGGGTGGGCTCCCAGCAGCTCCCTGAGCAGTGCCCCCGTGGGGTCAGGCTGCCCACACCAGCAGCGTAGGTAGGGGGCACCCCAGAGTCTCCCCCCCCCCTGCAGTGCAACACCCACCTCCCACCCTCAGCCTTGCTGGGAGGACCCTGAAACCCAGCCCCAACTCGGGGAGCCCTCAGGGAGTCGGACAGAGGCTCCCGCGTGGACAGCCCTGAGCCACTGGGAATAAAGCTCCTTCTGGGTACGACTCCCTCTGGCTTCTTCCCGCCGGGACCTGCCCCCATCCTGGGACAGGGGGGCTTGGCTGGCTCTCAAATCCTGGGGTCTGCCAGCAGGTAAGGGCTCGACAGGGCTGCAGGATTGGCCCCAGCACCCAGGGGGCCCAGGTCCGGAGAAGTACTCTGCCCCCTGTCCCAGGCCTGCCCCCCAAATCCATAACCCAGGCTCTGAGTTTTTGCAACTTTATTAAATACAAAAGTCTGGTCGCTGGGACCAAAGGCTGCATTCAGGATATGCTCAAAACAGGTCAAACATTCAAATATACAAAAGTCAGCGGTGCCCCCGGCCTGGGCCTGCTGCCTTCCCTGCCCCCCCGGTGTCCAGAGGGGGGGGGGCCCACTCACCACACCGAGGCACTGGTTTCTTCTCATCACTCTAGGAGAGGGCTGGGCTCAGAACTGGGGGTGTGGCAGGGTGCTGTGCCCCCCCACTCCCTGGCAGTGGAGGTGGTACTGGTTCCTTGCCCCCTGGCAGTGTTCTCGCACGCATCACGCTTGGGGCCCGGCTGGGGCAGGCAGCAAGGGATGGGGCTTGGGGGTGGACAGGTTAAGCTATACATGGACGGGAGCAATGGCCCTGGGCGGGGGAGAGAGGGAGGGAACCCCGCAGGGCTCTGCCCCACCACCAGCTCCTGCCCTCCAGGGCGGGCAGTGCCCATCCCCACCAAGGAGCCTTCCCCTTCCTAGGGCACCAGGCAAACTAGTTCTAGAGATAGCGGCCGCCTCTTGCCAAGGCCCCGGCCCCAGAGGAGAGCTGGGCTGGAATGTTCTGTGCTGTAAAAGGGCCCTTGGGTGGGTGCAGCAGCAGGCGCAGCTGGAATCGGCAGGCAGGGGAGGTGCAGGGCTGCTTGGCAGGACAGCGTGCCAGGGGCTGGGCCCCCGCCCACAGCTGGGGAGATCCACAGAGTCTCTGACCTACCTTTCACCAACAGCCGTTTTGGTGTGACCACCGCCCCAGGCTCCGAGACGCCTTGCCCCGCTAATTGGAGCAGCCACTCGGGGGGGGCTGTAGGGAGGGAATGGGGCAGACAAGGGCTCCCCCGCTTCTGAAACCTGCAGCGCAGCCCTGAGGCAGGGCCAGGATGGGAATAGTCCCTTTGAAGCCCCCCGGGATACAGTACACCCACACAGCCGCAGTGTGCAGGAGGGGCCAGCCCCTGAGTCCCTGGCAGGGGGGAAACTGAGGCACAAAGGGGGGCAGAGCTGAGACTAGGCCCCAGGTGTCCTGGCCTGGGCTCTAAGCACTAGCTGACACGGCCGAGGAAGACAGCGAGAGGGGCTGTGTCTGTGCTCAGAGCCCTGTGCCCCACTAGGAGCAAGGCAGGAGGGGGAGCAGGTGGCAGGGAGCCGCACTGGCCCCTCTCCCAGCCACGCTGCCCCCCGGGAGCCCTGCGAGCGCCCACAGAATGAGCCCTGGCCCAGCTGGAGCTGAACCCGTGGGGCACAGAGCCCCTGCTGCCGCTGGCCCAGACTGAGCCAGTCAGGGCGATGGGGTGACACGCCCGGCCCAGGACCGCCCCGGGGAAGCTGCAGCTCAGTCCTTGGCTCTCCTCGTAAAGGGGGGGGGCTCGTTAGCCCGAGCCTGAAGCTCCCCAAGCCCCTGGCTGGGGCCGTTTTGGACACTGGGGGGCTGCTGCGTTGTCCCCGGCCCGCGGGGCAGGGCTAACCGCCGCGCGGTGAGGGGGGAATCTGGGGTGCAGCCATGTCCAGAAGGCAGACAGAGTGGGCCGAACACGTCCTGGTTCGATCCGCACCCCCGGGCCACGGCGAGACTCCTCTGCATCCAGCCAGCCCAGGGCACGGCCAGCCCTGCACTCCAGCCTCATGCTCCCGTGGGCCGGGGGAAGGTGCTAGCCCCGGGCCGGGCGTGGGGGCGGCTTGCCGATGTCCACCGTGATGTTCGTGTACATGGGCCAGCGCGTCACCTCCACCAGCCGATACTGCAGGGAACTGATGCCGTCCCGTTTCATCGTCATCTTGGTGTTCTGGATCTTGGTGAACCTGGCCGAGGTGCAGAGAGGTGTGAGCGGGCGCAGAGCTGAGCTCTCCCCTGGCCAGCAGTAGCCCCGGAGGGCAGTGAGGCACAGCCCTGGGTGACCCTTGGGGCTGTGGTCCCTGCCTGGCAGTGCCAGCCCAGGGCGGGGAGCCCAGTACTGCACAGCCTGGCTTCCCTCTCACCCAGCCAGAGAGCACCGTGTGTGCCAAGGGAGCAGGTTCACCTGGGGGCAGGGAAACTGAGGCACAGAGAAAGGGGGGTGGTGCCTCTTCAAGGCCACACTGTGAGTCAGTGGCAGAGAAGGGAAGAGAACCCAGGCGTCCTGGCTCCCAGCACCACACCCCAGGATTTACTCAGCAGCTGTCCCCACCATCTGCTGCCTGCTGAGGTGCCCATCTGGAGGCTCCCCCTGCCCCTCTCCAGCAGCCTCAGCCTAGGGGGTGGGGTGGGCTCTTGGATGGTATGGGGGGGGAGCTTTCCTAGGCAGGCTTCCCCCGGGCAGTGCCAAGCCACGGAGCCCAGGCAACACATGGGGCACTGGAGGCGGTGACCCGCTGTGGGGCTCGGGCCGGGCCGGGGTCTCACCTCTGTGGGTTGGGCTCGTTGTGTTTGTCGCGCTCATGTTTGATCATGCGGTACCTCCCGATGTGGCCGCTGGGACGCGACACCTTCATGCCGTTCAGAGAGATCCTGGGGACAGAGCGAGCCGAGCTGGCAAGAGCGGCACATAGCTTGGGCCAGCTGGGATCTGGCACCAGCCCCGGAGGGCCCGGCCCTCTGCCATTGCTGCAAGCAGCAAAGGGATTGGGCCCCTCTGCCCCCCCCCAGCCTGACAGCGACTGGCATGAGCCCCTCTGCCCCAGGGCCTGTGCCCGCCCCACCGCCCGCCCCCACGGGAAGCGGGCCCAGCTGGCACCTGCCGCTCCGAGCATGACTGGGGAGCGGAGCAAGGGCAGGGCCAAAGCCAGAGGCTCCTGTCTGCTCAGGGCCCACCTGCACCACCGCTGGGACGCCAGCAGGGGGCAGTCAGAGCCAGGGCCCGGGAGCAGGACCGCACCGCTGAGCGGGGTGACGCCAGGGACTCGACGATCAGTACTAAAAAGCGGCCGCGCACTGGGGAGTTCAAGGCCCGGCTCCTTGTGTAATTTACACAATCAGGGAAACCCCTCAGCTTCTGAGGTCAGCTCCAGCACCGCGCTGGGAACTAGCCAGACCAGGGCTTCCGCCTCTCCGCTCGGCCGGGTCAGCGCAGTCGCTGCCGAAAAGCCTTTGCCACTAGCCCTTTGGGTGCCAGGTTGCCTGGCAGGTGCAGAGGAAACTTCCCCCCCACACACCTCCCCCAGCAAGAGGTGAGAAAGCAGGAAAGCTTCCTCAAGGAGAGCTGCCAACCCCGTGCACAAGGGACAGCGCCAGATGGTCCAAGGTGGGCAGGCACCTGAAGAGGAAGCGAGGTGGCGGGGGGGGATTTCAAGAGCACCTGAGCAGGTGAGCTGGATTTCATGGGCGTCGGGCACTTCACCTAACCCTGCTTCCAAAGTCCCACTAGCCACCTAGCTGCACCTTTAGGCTCCTAAATCCCTTTGGAGCCTGGCCCCTGGGGAGCATAAACAATCTCAACTCAGTAACTACAGCCCGCCCGCCCTTGCTTTAACACAGCCCAGTTCAACGCCAAACACGGTCTGACGGGCTTCCTTCTTCTGGGGTCTCCAGCCACCAGGGTGGGTTTCAAGTTTTAACTGACCTCCAATTTCCATCCAAATCCAGCTTGACCCCAAGCCAGGAGTAAAACGTCCCCACTGAGCAAACCAGAGCCGTGTCCCTCCCCGGGGCACGGGCCCAAGGGACGAGTACATGCACGCTGAGCGAGGGAATTGCTGAAATCAGCGCCCAGACAGCAGCCCCGGGCTGAGCGGGAGGCACTCTGGGGTTACAAAGCCACGGGGTGCTGGCACCCCACCAATGAACAAAGAACTAACATGGACCAATGCAAACCACGACTGAACCCAGGGATTTCAATCAACCCGCCCTGCTGCCGAGTGGCTCCAGGAGCGAGGCCGAGCCACCTGGAGCCAGACACTGCGGGGAGCGGCTGGCCCAGGGAATGGGACTCACCCAGCCCCAACCACTCCCTGATCGATCCAAGCCAGGCACTGCCCTGCTCCATGCCCGGCCCGGCCCCAACACAGCCCCTCTCCCCACGTGCTCCCCATCCCAGCTGTGGTTCAGACCCGGCACCACACGATGGCTTTGTCCCGTGGCAGCACTCGGCCACATCTCCACCTCAACGGCATCTACGTGGCCACGGAGGCTGCAAGTCCCACAAGATCCGGCAAAGCGCCAGGGCAGCGAGAGCAGCTCGGGGGCAGATCCCGCACCGGGACCAGAGACGCCGCCGGAGTGCGCCCAGCTGGGTCTGACCAGCCCCTCCCAAGGTAGGGCCAGGGGACCCCACAGCTGCTCCCAGCAGGCAGCCTGGGGAAGCACAACCAGGCCAGCTACCCCACAGCTGCAGAGACCCCCTGGGGTAGGGAAGGGCACAGCAGCGTGACCCAGCCGTGCCACACCACCGAGGGCACGGGCACTGCCAGGCAGCTCAGTGGGGCTCGCCGTGCCGGGCACACCGGGCTGGCTGCACCGCTGGCTCCTCTCCCGGGCAGTGGGACACACAGAGGCTGCAGAGATGGCGACTCCCTTCCACCCCCCCGGAACTGAGCACTCCGCCCCCCAAGTGCAGCACACAGGCCCTGCAGGCGGAGGCGAACGGGCAGCTGGAGTGGCAGCGAGCAGCAAGCCGAATGTTGGGCAGGACCCAGGATCCCTCACCCTGCTCAGCCCATTCCATGGGGCCACACTTCCCCAGCCAGCCCTGTCCATCCCGAGTCCGGCCGCAGGGGGGCAGAGCGCCGACGTCCGTGGGTGGGGCTGCCTGGGAGCCTGACTGATGGGAGGTGCTTTGTGGGGCAGGTGCCTGCTTCAGGGCCTGACGGTTGGGCTCTGGGCCCTCCAGCCACAGTGGAGGGCTGGGCTCTGGGCTGGCACAGCAGCCCGGAGTGGGGAGCTCACCAAGGGACCTGGCCCAGCAGCACTGTGGGGCTCACCCACCGGTTAAAGATGTCGTCGTCCTCGCCTCCCCAGCCCCAGTACTCGTTGGGGAAGCCGTTGATCTTCAGGAACTGGGACCTGCTCAGGCCTGAGACGCCCCCGAAGTAGCCAGCATACGGCAGCCTGCAGGGACAAGCAGCAGCCGGCGTCAGCGCAGGCACGGGCAGGCCAAGGGGGAGCCTGGGACCGTGCTCTCTTCCCCCCCGGGCACTGTCTGGGCTCTGCTCTGGCTCAGGAAGGGGGCCAGGCTCCCAGGCACTGAGAGCCTGCAAGGAAAGCTGCTACCAGCCCCCGTCTCCCCCCATGCCCCTCTGCGATGCCCAGCACGGCACCTCCCCCACCCACTCCCACATCTCTGCCCTGCTGCCCCCATGCTCCCCGCAGCCCCAGGGCACACGCCACCCCTCCCACTGAACCTCCCTCCCAGAGAGCCGCCACCTTGCCCGCCGAGCCAGGGCCCAGCACACTGGGCCAGGGCTGGCTCGCTCCGTGGCAGGTGCCCGCCCTGGCGTCCAACCCCTGCCAGCTCCGCCCACGGCCCCGCTGGCACTCGCCTGAAGCTGAACTTGTCCATGGCGATGGCGAAGTGCCGCGGCTGCTCGTAGCACCGGTACAGGTTGCGGTCGTCCATGGGGACCAGGTCCACATCGCTGAAGATGAAGCAGTCGTAGTCGTCCTCGTCCTTCAGGGCCTCCAGGAAGCCCACGTTGAGCAGCTTGGCCCGGTTGAAGGTATCCTCGCCGTACTGTGCAGGGGTGGGGGGACAAGTGTCGGAGGGGGGCTCCCAGGCCAGCGCCAGACGCCCGTCCCCCCAACACTCCTGCCCTACACACTGACGCTTAGCCCAGCTGTACAGACAGCCCCGCCCCACAAGCACCCCACTCTGCCGCCCCGTTTCTGCACGCCGGGAGCAGGGCAAGCAGAGCCCCGGGGGAGGGCAGCCGGCCCCAGCACCCCAAGATCGTGCTGTCCCACCAGGGAGAGGCGCTAGAATGGCCCTTCCTGGAGGGAGGCAGCCAGTGAGTAGTGACAGGAAAGGGCCCTCTGCCACCGGCCCTGCCCATGGGCCCTGCCCAGTCACTTCTGGGCAGCAGCCTCGTGTCCCCGGCTCGCCCTGCTTGGCTGGAGACACCGTAACCCTGGGCACTGTCAGAGGGGCTGCGGGTCACGATAGAGGGGCACCGGCTGGGCCGTGAGCAGAGCCAGGCCTCAAATCCGTCCGACAGGCCGGTAGGTCTCGGCATCACGCCCGACGCCAGCTGGGGCCCCCTCTCGTTGGCAGCTGCAGGGCCAGGGAGCCCGTGGGCCAGAGGGCTCTCTGGGCCAGCTGCCACGTGAGCCGCCCCGGGCAAACAGGTCCATTTAGCGCAGTTCACCCCAGGGGCACCCCTGGAACCCAGCCAGGAAGGAAGACGAGCCAGCCGGGGGGACAGAAGAGCAGCCACGCGGTCTGCCCTGGGCTCAGCCGGCAGGGTGCACAGAGCCAGCCCGGCCATGAGCCCAATACGCCACGCACAGGCCAGACTGCAGGGCCCTCCTCGGGCGGGGCGGTGAGTCTGCCGGGGCTCAGTCTCCCGCTGGGAATGGGAGACCCTTGAGCTGGGCCCCTGACACCTGGGGGAGGGGCTGTTATCCTGCCCCCAGGCCCTCACCTGGTTGATGATGTAGATGCCGTAGGCGACCTTCTGCCGGCGCAGGATGGGGTGCAGGTAGTGCAGCCAGTAGCGCAGGTGGTGCTCCCGGTGGCGGAAGGGGATGAGGATGGCGACCTTCTGGCGGGGCTGGCAGTCCAGGGGCACGTACTTGCCGCCCTCCCGCACGTCTGGGTTCTCCCGCTGCACCCGCTCCATGCTCATGGGCGAGCTGAACTCGATGAGGAGCCGGCCAACTGCGGGGGGTTGGGGGAGCCGGTTACCAGGCGCCCCACCACAGCCCCTGGGAGCAAGGGGCAGGGCTCACCAGCAAGAGGGGGCGCTGTGACCCAGCTCTGCCCGTGCCCTCAGTCCTGACCCACAGCCCCTGGCACCCCTGCCCTGGGCTCCCCACCCAGGACTGGCAGTGCCCCAGGAGTCGGGTGCAGTCACTTCTGATGGGGCAACCCCTCACATCGGCTCAGGCGCCACACAGGCTGGGAGCAGTCAGCTCCGTCCCCCTGAACCTATGTACACTGAGCCCAGCCCAGCAGCTCCCAGCCCCCAGCCCAGCCAGTTCCCAGACCGCCCCCCGGCCCAGCCCGCCTCAGCCAGCTCCCAGCCCGCCCCCGGCAGCTCCCCGCCCCACCCCTGCCCCACCCTCGACCCAGCCGCTCCCCAGCCCCAGCCGCTCACCTAAGCCAGGCGGCACCTCCTGGCAGGGCGGTAAGGGCTTCTCGGTGCCGGAGTGGTTGGCGCTGGATGCTGGGTCAGCGCCAGCCGGCCCACAGCTGGGGGCGGTGCCGTTGGGCCGGGAGGAGTTGGAGGACTGGGCCCGGGAGGCGTTCCGGCCGTTGAAGCGGCTGAAGAAGTCCAGGTGCTGGGCATAGACGTCGAAGTAGAGAATCATAATGATGACGAAGTGCAGCAGGCACAGCAGCAACACGGCCTTGCAGATCCTCTCCAGGGTCACCCCCAGGAGCAGCCTGGTCATCTTCCGGGCGCTGGCGGGCGGGCATGTGCGCCGAGCTCCGGGGCGGTTCCCGCCAAGGCACCGGTCCTGCCCAGGGGACACCAACAGTCAGGACAAGGCCTCCGCACCCCACCCAGGCCAGGGAGAGGTCGGGTCCCCGCGTGTCCTGTGGACACATCCAGCCACGCCGACTCCAGCTGCTTGTCACTTCCCAGCCCCATGCTGGTCTCCCCCAGCCAAGTGACCCCAATGCCCTGCAAGCCCCCCCAAGCCGTCTGCCCCGACGTGCCCAGCCCTCTCCTGGGGCACAGAAAACTAGGTTTGTTGCCCCCGCGCGGAGAGAAAAGCCCAGCTCCCCGGAGCTCCCGATCCCTCCCGTTCCCAGCCAGACCCGCGCCAGGAACCCATCGCTTAACACAGAGGGGTTTAGGGGAGTTTAAATGCCAGGGATAAAGACAAACCAGCTACAAGCAAATCGGAGTCACACACGCTTCCGAGGGGCTCAGACTGAACCCTGCAAGCTGCAGCCTGGGGTCTTCCTGGTCCTCCTCCTTCCAGCCATGGCCTGCTCTCTGCCAGGGCTGCCGGGCGAGGAGCAGGGTGCTCACCTTATTCAGATCCCGGAGACTCTGAGCCCCCGGTGGAACAGCCCATCCTCCTCAGGTCGCTCGCACTCCGGCCCCTCGTGTGCGTCCAGCGACGGACGCCAATACCTCTGCTCGTCTCAGCTTCCCAAACACACTGTCCTGTCCTGCGCTCAGGGTGAGCTCCTGCTGCTCGTCCCTTCCTGGGCACGCGGCTGGAAAGGGGGCGCCCACGGCCTTGGGCACGCTCTGATGTAACTTCACCGGAGACAGGGAGCCAGCTGCCTTCCCCCTCCCGTCTGGGGGAAAACCAGACCACGGGAGCAGTGACGGGGGTGCCATTCACCGCCAGCGGGCACCTCCTCCCGGCCGCGGTGGGGCCTAGCTCGCGAGGTCCATGCCCCTTCGCTGTCCCTCTGCTTGCAGCCCCAGGAGCTGCCGCGGCCTCCTCATGACTCAGCCTCCAGCTAGTCACGCTCGGGGTTTCCCCTTCTGGGGGCAGGAAAGTCTCTTCTGACAAAGAGGCTCAGGCAGTCTTCCTGTTCACTGCCCCGCCGGTGCCACGTCCCCAGGGGCTGGGCCCACCCTCTGCTCTCGGTTCCGGCTCAGGGACCTCTAGTCAGCAGCCAAGGCCTGTTCCACCCCAGAGCTTGCTGCATTTCCCCGAGCCCTTTCCTAACCTGGCTCTCCCTCCCTTCCCTGGTGTCACCACTCGTCCTCCCAGCCTGCGTGTCTCTGCCACCTCCACGCCCCCTCCACGCAGGGAGCCACTGCAGCTTCCCACGGCCTGCTCCACGGGCAGCCTGCTGGCTGCTCCAGGCCCGGCTGCGCTTCTGCCAAGTAAGGCTCCTCTGTCTTGGCTCCCCGCAGCCCCACGGGGCCCTGCAGGGCAGGGTTGGGAGGACCCCCCACCGCAGCGTCACAGACCCGAAAGCACTAGAGCAAGAAGGAGCGTATTCTCTCAGCTAGTGTTAATCCGCATGCACGCTGATCTTAACCACCAGCAGGGGTGGGACTAGACAACCTCCTGAGGTCTCTTCCAACCCTAAACTTCTAGGATTCTCTCTCGCTCCTGTTCCACCGAGACCCGCAAGGCACAGTCAGCAGCAGGGTGTGGATAGGGGGTGCTTGAGGTCACCCCCCCCAGTGATGTCACTCCCCAGCCAGAGGGTAGAAAGGCCAGGCTGGGTCTGCTTGGCACCGAGTGGCTCTGGTCATGGCCCGCGTTCAGCACCGTAATGGGGGAATCGTCACCGAGTGGGTGTTTCCAGGGGGTCCCGCAGCTGCACCACTGAATGTTTTTATCAATGACCTGGAGGAAAACATCAAATCATCACTGATAGAAGTTGGCAGAGGGCACAAAGGTTGAGGGAGGGTGAAGACGACAGGGCACCGGTTCACAGCCATCTGGGGCACTTGGTAGGTTGAGCTCAAGCAAGCAATATGCCTTTTAATATGGGTAAATGTAAACGTCTCTCTCTAGGAAGAAAGGACATGGGTTGTACGTACCAGGAAGCCGGGACTCTGAAAACGCTTGGGAGTCGTGGTGGACAATCAGCGGAACATGAGCTCCCGGCGCGACACTCCAGCCAAAAGGGCTAATGGCGAATCTTGGCTACATAAACAGGCAAATCTCGAGTAGGAGCAGAGGGGTTATTTTACCTCTGGATCTGGCCCTGCTGGAATCCTGGGTCCAGTTCTGGTGGCCACAATTCAGGGAGGAGGTTGGTAAATTGGGGAGGGGTCAGAGAAGAGCCAGGAGAATGATTCAAGGATTAGAAAACCTGCCTTTAGTGATCGACTCCAGGAGCTCCATCGAGTTCGTGAACCAAGAGAAGTTAAGGGGTGACTCGATCCCAGTCTACAAGTACCCGCAGGCGGACCCAGTATTTGGTAACGGTCTCTCCCATCTAGCAGCGGAAGCTCCAACACAATCCAATGGATGGAAACTGAAGCTAAACAATTCCAGGTGAGGGTAATTAACCAGTGGAACAACGTCCCCGGGGCTGGGGAGATTCCCCATCCCTGGCAACTGCTCTAGCAGTTACCCGGGCAGGTCTCTGGTGGTCAGACTAGGCGATCACAATGGGCCCTTCTGGCCTTGGGATCGATGAAGGGGGCTGGCCGCGTGGCTGCTTCAGAGGCGATCGCCAAAGTCTTTCTTTAGAAATTGAGCGTTTTCCCCCTTGTTTGTCTTCAGAGCAGAGACAGAGGGTCTGGACTGTGCTTAGAAACCCCCGCCTGGGCCGCAGGCTGTCCCAGACGTGCCCCGTTCCCGGCAGGGGCAGCTTTACCAGGGAATCCTTTTCCACGCTGCAGGTCAGTCGGGGTTAGCAGGACGACGCGTTTCAAACCCTTTTGCCTCTGTCCCAGCAGCTTGCCTCCACCGCACGACGATCCAGCCAGCGCACAGACTGACTTCAGCACTCGTGAGCTCACGGGGGGAAGACACGGCCCCGTCAGCACCCCCCACCTGGCAAGAGACCAGCAGGGCCACTCACGGCCAGCACTATGCTGCACACTGTGGCCACCCAGAATGTAGTGACAGGTTATCCTGCTCCACACACACCTTCCTCAGCCGCTCTGGCGCTCAGAGACTCTCCCTTAGCTGAGGGCAGTACAGGGCCTATGACTAGAGTGGATTTCCTGCAGGAGAGGGGGGCGGCACAGACAGGCACCAGTTCATTACAGTCAGGGCCTGTGGTGCTCCAGAGCCTCAGCAGGCCTGTGTCCAGCCCTCCTGGCTGTGAAGAGCCTTGAGCCAAGTATATTGATACAATGCTGCTTGCCTGAGTCTGCAAAGAGCCTGAAACGATGGCTCAGAGAGGTGTGAAATGGCCCACCCATCTCGACAGGCTTGGCAACGCCCACGGTAGCATGTACTGCAGTTCAACAGAGGGTAACTGGAGCCCAACGCCTCCTTCAGCCTGACGCCTACAGATCACAGCTTACAGGGCAACACCCTAGCTTCAGCAGTCACCAGGTCCCGTTTCTCCCCCACTCCCAGCCTGCCTGCCAGGCGCCCCAGGCCCCCAAAGCCCCAACCGCCCCCACCCTCAACAACTTCTGGACTGCAGACATGGGTTGTCAATACAAACATCCCCCACACACCAAAAGGGGGGGCGTGGGAGCCAGAGCCCCAGAAATCGCCCATCACAACAGCAGAGAGGCTGCCCAGCCCTGAAGCCGAGTGCAGAGATCTGGCACAACTCGGATGTATTTTTATGAAAGGTGTGGGTGACTCAGTTTCCCTCTCCCCTCAGACGGTTACCCGCAGGCTGGGAAGGGGTTACAGTCTTTCCTGAAACGAGACAAGCAAGGCAGGGATTGGAGGAAGTCACCGATAGGCTGGATGAAGCAGCGGGAGCTAACATCACCGGGCATAATTCCTGAAAAGCACGCGAGAGGGAACCATCCCGGGGGCGCTGCACAGACTGGGTCTGACGGGTTACCCAGCAGGCCCGGGGGGAAGCGGTTTCTGGGTTTAGGATGTCTTCACGGCACTGCCACATTCTGACCGACCACCTGGGCCTTCTGAGGCTGCCTGGCCGCTGGCTAAGCCTGGGGGTTACAGGAGGCAGGTGCCGAGGTGATGAAAGGGAAGGACAGGAGGCACTGGAGTGGAACGGCAGAGGCCGCCCCAGGAAAGGATTTGGCTAACGGCCTGAGGGGGGCGCTCTCCGGGAGGCCACGAAGGGGTCAGAGGTGCCGTTCTCGCAGGAACTGGGAGGTGTGATTCTAGGAGAGCGGTGAATGCCGGCAGCAGTGAAAGCAAGTGCCGCGGAAGGCACACGCCAAGGGAAAAGCCGCTCACCCTTTTCACAAAGGACAAGGGAGCCAGACGGGGAATTGCTAGAGACACTGAGACATGCTGAGGGACAGCCGGACTCTCAGGAGCTGACCGGCCCAGCTAGCTGACCTGCTCTGAGGACCAGAAAAGACACAATGCTCCAGAGCCCCGGGGGCGGCCAGGCTCCTGGAGACACACCAGCCCGCCAGGGAAACCTTGCGGACAAGGCCTTCGGGGGGTGTGGAAGAGGGTGACAGAGGCAGCAGCCGTGCTCCATCCAGACCAGATTCACCACGTCAGCAGCAGTCGGGCACAAGCCGGCTACAGGCTGAGAAGCGACTGTAACTAGACACACTGTACTTGGAAGCCCTGCAGACCGGGAGCAAGAGAGACGTTGCTAAGGACCAGAGCAGCTCTGCCTCCCACCCCACAGCACCCACAAGCCAGTTCCCTTCCTATTATTATTATTATTATTATTATTTTTTAAGGCAGACAATTCAGTAGCTGGGGCTGGGACGCTAGGAACCCCGGGCTGTGGAAATGCAGAGAAGGGCTAACAGCGGCAACACGAGCCTGGCCAGGTGGCCCATCTGAGAAATGTTCTATTTCTTCCCCCCCTTCTAAAGTGTGTAGCTGGATCTGGTGATGAAGGCCTGGACCAGGCAGGGTGTGTCGGCAAGCAGGCGTTGCTAGGGGAAGGAGGCTGGGTGTGATTTTAACAGTCCATTAGTGGAGTTTGCTGCAGCTGAGC